TCCATAATTCAGGTATGCAGATTTCGAAAATAATATTCATTTTTTTTCTATCACGTAAGAATTTGTTACAAATCCGGAAAAAAAACTCTTACTTAGGTCAAATTGTTATTTCGTTTACCTCAATGAACATTTTTTGTTATTATGTTTGTTAATAAAATACAGACATACTGATGAAAAGGGAGGAAAATCTATGTCAAACGAATATGCATCCTTATACATTCTGATTGTTTTTGTAAAATCTACGTCTTTTAGTCTCAAAACTACATCTTGTGGTCTTTCTTTTATGTATTGCGTGATGACGTTTTATGAAAAATCTGTACGTGATGGAGAAAAATGGATATCATTTACGGATTCAACGTACAGGAATTATTGAATCGTGTAATCATGAGATTTTACCAGCTAGGCATGACAGTTGACAGGTATGTATTTGACCTTGTGGTTCAGTGCCGAAAAGAATCGGGTACTGTTTGCCTTTTCACCCATCAGTTACTCTCTTTGATTGAAAGGGCTTCTTTGACGTGATCGTTTCCCGTTCCTCGGAAGGACAACTCGACTTTCGTCTACTCTCGCCATCAAACATGTAAGATTATGCAGTAATTTGTAATATATTTTACATCTATACAACTATATCAGTATATGTAAATATAATTGGGCTATTTCGTCAAACCTAAAAAGTTTAAAAACGGACAATTTTGGACTTAATCTAAAACTTTTTCTCATTTCCGACCAAATAAAATAAAAAATGAACTTGTATAAAAAACAAATGTAATTTGAATCTACAATGTTACAACTTATAGCAAAAAATATAATTTATATCTGTCAAAACTGCATTATTCGAAATTTTCAATTTGCTTTATCAAATGCCAACATTCGAAAAATCACGAACTTTCTCCCCCGTACTTACATCGATCATATACGTTGTACTTTGGATGCGAAGACCATCCATAAACCAAAACATACAAAAAATTACATTATAAATTAATTAAAATTCTAGTATTGTACCGTTGTTCTATCCAATTTTACTTTTATTTCAATGCAACAAATAATTTGATATTGGTAACTATAGTAATAATGAGTTAGCAGAGCTATGATAGACGAAAAAGGAAAATATAAATATGACGTTATTAATAACAAATATATTATTATTGTTATTTGACGAGTGCAATAACGCAAACAACTTAATATTTTCATTTTCAGATAGGAGAATTGTTACTGCTGCTACTAATAATATTACTATTACTACAATTAGTATTACTACTTTTAATAGTTATTACCAGTGCTCAAGAACAATGCTATCAATTAATGAGATTAACTTACCATGTATCCTTTGAATGAACAAACAGATGATCACAAAACCTATATATACTGGAAAGTTTCTTTTTAGAAATGGGATTAAATTCATTTTTAAACTCGCAGAATAACAAAATTCCCAAAATGAACAAACACACTATACAAATTATAAACTGTCTCACTATTGGATTGTAATTAAATTGAACTATTTCTGTTCAGCATAACTGTAAGATTACCCATTGACGATATAACATAGGAAACTGGTACTTAGACTGCTCTGTTAAATTGTACGAAGTTCCACGTCGCATCCTACTAACATCAAAACTGAATCACCACTCCAGATATACGTTCTTTAATTAATTTCACCTCCCTTTCATGGCCACCTCGACAAACACTTCCTGCTCACGTGCTATTTGTATATATTTTTCATGTTTATTACCACACACTTTTAACCTTTACTCTTTTTACTCCTCAAGAAGAATAGTCAACTATTCGAAAGTGTTTAAAATCTACCAAACTTTTTGATTATTCATTGTGCTAATTCTTTCATCATGCCTTCATGGCTATTTGTGTAATTGTCATAATATAAAAGATTGTTTAGTTTTGTTTATAATAAGAGTCAAAAGCAGGGTATTGTTGGCAGGAACGTCGAGAGCCAGCACTGGCCCCGGGGCAAACATCCTCGCCAGGCCCCCTTTCTCTCTCTCTTTTTTTTTAACATTTTCAAGAATTTATTAAAAAGAAAATCCTAAATTAGGACAGCAAGAGCTCATAAACCAGACAAAATCACAATATCAGCCGTTTTTACCTCACAATATAAGCGTAAAAACGTTAATAAAGTAACAACAAATATCTATTAAATCTATCTATTACTCGAATTATTATTTCAGTATTTCTTAATCTATCAAGCTTCTATATGCAAAGAAAAGCCAAAACTATGGTTTTATCATTAAATGAAGATATAGCCTAAAGATGCTTTGCGGGCTTTACGTCATAATCAAGTTTCATTCCCCTGGGCAATTGCCCTCTTTGCCCCCCCCCCCCCTGTTGGCGGGCCTGATTGTTGGAAGTCGTGTTTATAATTCATTGACGATGGGACTATCGAATGCTGTGTGCAATACACTGACGTCGAGAATATAGATATTTCTAGAAGTCAGGCAGACGATTAAGATATAAATAGTTTGAGACGAGTAGAAACAGCAGACAGACAATAGCAGAAGAGAGTGAAGTCACGGCCAAGAAAAAGTTCAGCGTAAAGTTAATTGCCGTTATGATAGGCCTAACGTTCAATATGTTAGAGTAAGACTAACAGTAGAAAATGATATTAGAAGAATGATTTATTCCGTCAAAGCGTGGTTCTGAAGTAATTGAATCATCCTGAGTGCACTTTGACAAAAGAAACGGAGGTTATTTTGAATAAAGAAAACCAAACAATCACTGGAAGAGCAGTATATGACTGTGGTAACTCGCGCCACAATTGTAAGTGAATTCTACACAGAATACTAGTGCGATAGAAATAGGGAAAGGTAGATCGACTTGACAACTGAAATTCTAAAATAACTGAATAGACCTAAGTGGACTTTTAACAACAAGAAGAGAACAATTTATAGTGTTTATGATATGCTTATAGTCTCTATAGTCTAAATAATTAGTTCTACATACGTTTAATTTGTTCTGAATATATATATATATTATTTTGAAAACAAGTAGAGTGGTGGTGTTCATTTATCGTTTAATTTATCGCCAACAAGTCACAGACACCTACTGTAGAAGAATCCGAAGCCCAACAACAACACAGTATATATACTGTTAAAAAGTATAAGTAAAAGCCTTAATTGACAATTGGCAAACATAATATAACATCTGACGGTAATGTAATTGTAAAACACGTGTTTTATAAAACAAAATATATTAATTACTATTTTTATGGCAGAAATAGTAAAAAAAATGTTTTCACTTTTTACATCTCTACACTATTTTCACCACTAAGCACTGTAGTGCTTAGTATATAGGGACAGGCTGAAAAAATGGCCTCCGCATGTTTTTTTATTGCTCATCATAGTCTCAAATCTCTCTTATAACAATCTACAAATCTTTCATAAACATGTAACTTGGGTTTTCGAGGTTTTTTAATGCTATTAAGATCTTTAGATTAGCCAAAAAACATCGCTAAAGTAGAGAACAGGCGAGTAGCGTAACAGCCAAATGTTCTGCTGATTATTCTGATTCTTGCGTCAGAAGGGCTAACTCACCAATGCTTGAAGTTGTTGCGATGATTTACACGCCAAAATGTTGCATTTCAATTTGGGGTGTACAGAAAGGTTTCATTAACTTCAACACATGATGTCTATTAAGAAAACTCACTACACCAGACTAAAACTGCTGCCTTCATAGCAACTACCATTAATTAATATTCAATTGTTTTAAAAAAGGGGAGGAAAAACAAGTAATAAAATAAAAGGATAATGTAGGGATAGCAATGCCAAAAGGTACAGAAACAACGTATGGATAAATACACAAAACCATACATAAGTAGCCACTAAGCCAATGTTATAGCTTTTGGGAATTAGCCATTGTAAAACTTTGTAGCATTATTCAGTCTAAATGCTTTTATTCAAACCTGAATTCATGCAAATGAAAGACATTAAACATTTAGTTGTAGATAACAAATTTTCTTGGAAAGATTTGGCTAATCAAATTTTATAGAATGTTTAAAGTCCATAGACTCCAACATCAAATTCACCCTGGATCACTCGATTGACAAGGGGAGTATAGATTTTCTTGACATTTTCTTAAGGATCGAAAATAATATACATTCTACCTTGTTTCATAAACTAATTAGAAAACCTCTTTCTTCAACTTCAACTCCCATCATCCCAATGCTTCCAATAAAGGTAAAATTATTGGAGAATTAAAAAGAATAGATCGCAAGTGAAAAAAAAAACAAAAAAAAACTACACACTCTAAAACTAATATCTGCATATTTACATAGAACAATTTTTCAAGGACTATGACATGCAAAAATCAGCAGGAACCTCCAATATGAAAAAAGAAAGGCAATCAAGGAGGTAAAAAGACAATTTTCCAAATATAACACAAAAAAGATTACTTTATGGTACCTCTAATTGACGAAACTATATCCAAAAGAATAACAAGAGGGAATCATCAATAGTCACAGCACTTGAAATTATTTTAGGAAGGGCTAGAGTAAATTAATCTACGAGATTTTTTTTTCCCTTTTTATTAATTATATTTTTGTGTGCTAATAATACGTAGGATGCTCGTATGCCCGATTCGATTTTATTACTCATCAGGACCTTTACCAGTCTACCCTCAAATTGAAATTATTTATGCAGGATTAGAGTAAATTAATCTATTGTTGCGTCATCGAGGTCACGTGACTACTGTGATGCAACGTTTCTAGAACTATCATGTACTTTGGCGAATGCTCTAGTAATTACTAGATATAGGGTAGGCTGGTATATAAAAGAGGGGAATGTAATGTGTGTGTATAGATAGTGAGTAATTGAACTGCAGTCAGAAGTATTGTTGACGTTCGTATAGCGTTTGTTATAGAGCGATTGTTGAAAATAAGTGTATCGTAAAGTTATATTCGGAAAGAATAAACCAGTTTTATTAAGTAAGGACTTGTGTCGTTAAAGTTTCGTCGCAACGAAGTTACGGAAAGTTAATTAACAAACGGAGACGTAACAGTATTTTTCTTGTTGAAAATAATAATATAC